TGATAAAAGCAGAGCAAAGCTCCCTGCCTGGGAATTTCCCCATGCCTTTAAGTGGATTAAGCTGGAGGGGAAGGTGTGTGTTTGGGGAGGGGGGAATGGGGGGAGGTAAAGGGAGAGGAAGGAGATCAGGATTTATTTATTATCTTATTGCAGAAACAAAACCAAAACAAAAAAAAAAAAAAAAGAAAAAGCTGCTGGTTATGACTTTTGAAGCGGGAGGTCAGAAAGCACGGGGTTCCCCTGATAACGCACACACCCTGTAAACTTTTAGGCAGCTCCATGGAAACTTGTTATTAATGCTGCAGTCATTAAAAGGCGCAGACCACGGGCAGATTTATTAGCCCCCCCCGTTAAACCACAACACGTGCCAGCTCTCGGGAAACAAAAGGGTCCGTCAACTTTCCTCCCTCGGCTTGGGATTTTGGGGAAGGCTTGGGGAGGAGAGAGAGCAAGCGAAGGAGGACGGAGCTGGGGCGGTTTGTGCCGTGGGGAAGTGGCATCGCCCCCGTTAACCGACGTTCCCCATCGCGGTTAATGAAGGTAATTAGTAATTCGGTGGCAGCGAAGGCAGTCGAGCACGGGTGTAACGAGTAACGAGCTCTGCTCACGGCAGCTTCCAGGGCGAGGAGCCTCCAGCTTTTGATTTCCTCCCCCCCCCGCCCCGGCCAGAAAGATTTCCCCGGGTGTCTGCCATGATAAATCAGCTGCCCGTTAGCCTGAATAACCGCATTCACTGAAGTTACAGAAGGAAACTTGTCTTGGGGGATGGTTGGTTGGACGCCGTGCCATCGCGCTGCAGAGAAGCCGCCGGTGCCGATGGCTGGTGTGGAGCTGGAAATAATCACAGGGATCTCCAGCTCCAAATCTGGGGCTCTCCACGGTTTTATCACCACGGTAGAGAGCGGGAGCAAACAGAGGGAGAAGAAAGGTTGTGGAAAAAGCAGGGTTAGACCTTCCTCTCCGGGAATCAGGAGCGCGGTTGGATGCGTTAGGTGGTGGAAGGACTGGAGGGAGCTCGGTACGTCCCTGGGTGAATTTGGAGACTAAACTTGGCCAGCTTGATTGTCCATCGCCAGCCAGGTGCTACCAAGGCAAAGCGGGTTGGTGTTGGCCGTCCTGCTGGCACGGAGGGCAAGCTCCTGGTGTCCCTGCCCAACCCACCATCCCAGAGAGGACGTGGGAGGTGCTATGGGTTATAAATGGCCCCGTGAGGCCCTGACCTGCTCTCAATCGTCGCCTGGTCCTTCTCCGGGGGTGGTGGGTAGGTGGGGTTGAGCGATGCTCGGTACCCAGGGGGTTGGGTGGCAGCAGCTGGATGGGTTTTCCCTTGCGGCATCCCGGAGGAGCGGGGAGAAGCTGCTGGTTTGTGAATGAATTTTGAGCAGCCGCTGGCGGAGGCAGCGGGGAGCAATTACAACATTCCCAGAGGGAACGAGGACGTGACGGACATCCCAGGGGACATTAATTTCTGACTGGGTGAATTTGGAGACTAAACTTGGCCAGCTTGATTGTCCATCGCCAGCCAGGTGCTACCAAGGCAAAGCGGGTTGGTGTTGGCCGTCCTGCTGGCACGGAGGGCAAGCTCCTGGTGTCCCTGCCCAACCCACCATCCCAGAGGGAGAGGACGTGGGAGGTGCTATGGGTTATAAACGGCCCGGTGAGGCCCTGACCTGCTCTCAATCGTCGCCTGGTCCTTCTCCGGGGGTGGTGGGTACGTGGGGTTGAGCGATGCTCGGTACCCAGGGGGTTGGGTGGCAGCAGCTGGATGGGTTTTCCCTTGCGGCATCCCGGAGGAGCGGGGAGAAGCTGCTGGTTTGTGAATGAATTTTGAGCAGCCGCTGGCGGAGGCAGCGGGGAGCAATTACAACATTCCCAGAGGGAACGAGGACGTGACGGACATCCCAGGGGACATTAATTTCTGACGGGAGAGGTGGACCGACAAGGGAAGGGTCAGAGTGATGGGTCTCCTGCACCCTTGTTCTTTAAGACCGAGTGCAAGGAATAAAACAGCATTGAATGGGTGGGAGGAAATAGGGAGAAAAAAAGCTGTAAAACAAGAAAAAAAAGCAAAAACCTTCTTTTTATTTTTTTTTTTTCCTAATATAGGGAAAAGCATCCTGTGCTCCCCCAGCCCTGCAGTGACCAGCGGTGTGTGCCACCCTGGCAGGAGACAGAGCTGGGAGAAAAAGGTGAGCCACCGTCTTCGGGAGGTTTAGAGTTTTCCCTCCATCCCTAACTGCTTGCTTTTTTTTTTTTTTTTTTTTTCCTAATATAGGAAAAAGCATCCTGTGCTCCCCCAGCCCCGCAGTGACCAGCGGTGTGTGCCACCCCGGCAGGAGACAGAGCTGGGAGGAAAAAGGTGAGCCACCGTCTTCGGGAGGTTTAGAGTTTTCCCTCCATCCCTAACTGCTTGCTTTTTTTTTTTTTTTTTTTTAGTGTTTGCCTTTGCTCTGTCCGTTTCTTGTTGTTCTTAAGAACAGATATTTGCCAAAACAAATGTATTTGAGTTTTTTTTTTTTTTTTTTCCTCCTCTTTCACTCTCTTCTCCCTCCTCCTCCTTCTCCTCCTCCTCCTTCTCCCTTGTCAGCTGGCTGGTGGGGAGAAGCAGAGGCTGGGATAAGACAAGGCATCCTTGTCCGACAGCCCTCCTGACCCCTGGGGGCACCCCCCGGGGCCCTGCCACGGTAGCCCCAACGCTGGCCGCCTGGCAGGCTATCAAAAGAAACTTCCGAGGGCTGGGAAGAGATAAAGGCTGGCTGGAGCAAGCCGTTTCTTGTCTTAAAACTTGGCACCTGGACTTAGGGAAGCGAATGTATGAACGGCTCAGCCATTCATTGCAGGGGAGCCTTGATACTTTCATTTGTATTGCAATTTATAAATATATATATATAATTTATTTATTTTTCTGGGAGTTTCCATCATTCCCTCCTGGACTATTATTCCCCATGTGCATCTGGGGAGGGAAGGAAATACGTGGTCTGAGAGTCTCCCCCCCATCCCCCTTCTTCTTCCACCCCACCCCGGAGTCCTTGCAGACTCTGCAGGAGATTAAACCAACCTGGCTGCCTTAGCGCAGGACATTCCTGCGTTGCATTAACCCGGCTGGAAACCTGCCTGTTGGAGCAGTGGCAAAGTGGAAAAAAAAAACAAAACAAACAAACAAAAAAAAAAAAAACAACTGTAGAAGGTTAATAAAAAATAGCTGAGGAAAGACTTGGAAATTCATGTGGAAGAAACAGATGTTAAAAAAAAAAAAAAACCAACAAAAAACCCCCCAAAAAACCCCCGCTTTTATCTTTGCTGTAGCCGAGCCGGGGGGGCCATGTGCTGTGTGTAATATCCGAGCGCCGGCATCTGTGGGTTTTCTTTTCTTTTCCTTCCCCTTTCCCCTCTCCTGCTTCTTTTTAGCTGCCAGTGTGTCTGTGATGCTCACTCCTCTCCTTTCCCCTGGTTCGTGCCCAGCAGCTTGAGCCCAAGGGTGAGCAGAGAAATAAGGATCTTTGTTTTTTTTCTTTTTTTTTTTTTTTTTATTTGAAAAAGATAACCCTCATCAGGAAAACCTGAGATATAAAGGCAAAGCCCTGCCGGGGCACATGGGTCAAACCAGATGTGATTCCTCACCCCCATTGTGTCTGAAGTGAGAAATCTGCTCAGGGCTCTCCAAGTGGGGCAGAGCACATCCCCGACCCCAAAATCGGCTGTTTTCCTCCCATCCTTGAGAATGAGATGTCTGTAGCAGAGGACATGGCGAGGCCAAGTTTCAAGCAGCAGGGCAGTGGAGACCCTTCTTCCAAAGCCCTTTAATCCCGGTGCAAAGGCTCCGTTCCCACCCAAGAGCAACCTCTTGCATGAGATCTCCAACTCAGAGGATTGCAGGGTCACAGGGTAACTCTGAACCTGGCCAGTATCATGCACTGGGGGGGGAAATATTGCTCTTCTAGACTGTCCCCAAATGTCCCATGGTGATGTCCCTATCTCCTGTGTTGGCAACATGGTGACCTCCCCTGGCTTTGGGGGAAGGAACAAGGTGCAAGGGGCCAGCACCGTTGTAGCCTGCACAGAGGACACATGTGAGGATGCTGTAATTTGGGAAGTCTTACTCTTCTGGTCAGTGAAACCAGGTCAAATTGGGTTAGGATGTGGCTTAATACGGGGTTAAATGGAAAAGGAAGATGGTTGTGTGCATGCTGGGTGACTTGCAGCATCTTCATGGCATGGCAGAAGTGTCACGGAGCTGTGCCAAAAACAAGGGGACAGGGATAGGGACAGGATGGAGCCAGAAGTGTCCACATGGGTGGGTAGAAGTCCCTGGAGAATCAGGTCTCCTATTGGCAGCCACAATTTAAAGCCCACAAACACTGATTTGAGAGGTGCTTAGCTATTTCTTTACCACAACCACCTCCCTAGATGTCCCCTTCCCTGTCCCCCAGCCTGGCTGCACATTTTGTAGAAGGCAGAGAAAGGCTGGTGTCCCCGGAGTGTCCAGGCAAGGCAGGAGCTGGACACAGTGCATGAGGACAGTGGTGGCATTTGGCTGGAGCAGTTGTGGCAGTGGTGGCGTTGACAGGGGACTTCTCCATGGGGTGAGACCAGGGTGTCTTGACTTGTGCTCCATTCCCAGTTAAACTGATGGGATTTGAATTTGGGGATGGTACCCCCATACCCACACAGGAATGAAGACCTTTAGGCCTGGGGGTTAGTCAATCTTAAGGTGTTGGGAGGGAAACTGAGGCTCCCGACACCTTAAGAATGGGGACTCGTGGTAACATCAGTGGTGACAAGTGGGTCCTGCTGGGGATGTGACTCTCCAAACGTACTTTAGATGATCTCTCTCTCCAAGACCCTGTGCCAGCCAAGAGATACTGGAGGATCCTGGGCCAGGGAGAGGAGGCAAAGAACTCAGGAGATGCCACACCACCATGTCATTGAGCCAGTTGAGCACCATCTGGGCTGGGAACTGTGGTGGGGATGATGCCCTGCTGCTAAACCCTTTGTCAGCTTTACCCAGACCCCCCTTTCCCTCCCCAAATCCCCCCTTCCCAAATCTTCTTGGAGACCTGCTGGGCATAGTGAGTGTCTCACACACTTCGCCGGGGTGGGGGCAGCTCCTGATGCTCCACCAAGAGATTCTGCTGGAGTTCATTGTTCACAGCGCCAACGTTGCAAGAATTATTTGGGAAGGGGAGGGAGGGAGGAGAAGAAAGGCCGTGAGGGGGAAGGAGTCGGGAGCCTCCAGCTGTGCTGTTTGCAACAATAACGGCCAGGATTGTATTTATTATCTCCTCGGTGGAGGGTCTGCAGCTGCACGCTGAGAGCCACAGGCGGCAAAGAGGCCCGGAGATTATTGTGCATGAAGAAAAAAAAAAACACAAAAAAAACCCCAAACCAAAAAAAACCAACCACAAAAAATAAATGAAAAGCCCACA